AGAGCTCTGAGTAGACTGTCCCTGAGAACTGTTATTTCCCCAAGCTGAGAAGTCAATACCACTGGGAAAGAAATTAAAACCATGCTGACCAAGAAACGGAGTGCTACCAAGGGCTCCTGGTTGTCCAAACATTGCATCTGGTAGGAAGTGAGGCTCTCCGTTGCTCAGCTGTCCATAAGAAGTTAGATAGGGCATGGCTGTGTCACCCCCAGTAGACCAAGCAGCTTCACCCAAAGAATAGGAGAAGCCAATGGAGGGACTGTAGTAACTGGGTAGGTAGGAATCTGACATGGCAGTATATGCATTATTCTGTGGAAGAGAAGAAAAACACACAACTAAACTAAACACAAAAATAAACAATCAGGACATTTCCTTTCCCAATTATTCATAAAATTCAACTATTTCATCCATTACCATAAAAAAGGAGAGTGACCATTTCAGATGGTGGCATCTCAACAACTATTAAACTATTAAAACCATACTATAATAGGCAAAATAAGACAAAAAAAATTGGAAATTTAAAGTTCTCTCCCAAAAATCTGTGTAGCCATCCCTCAGCATAAACCAAAAAGAAAGGTTCTGCAACTATATTTAAAGAGCAATAGTGTCTGTGTGTCAAGAAAACTTCTTAAATCTTATTAGTAAACATTTTTATGGTACGATTTTTACATTCATAAATCCTGCACTGTATTGTTAAAATATTGGTGCATGAAATTATTTCCTTTTTTTAAAATATACTTCTGTTGATTTCAAAGAGGAAGGGAGAGGGAGAGATAGAAACATCAATGATGGGAGAGAATTATCAATCAGCTGCCTCTTCCACACTCCCTACTGGGGATTCAAGCCTGTAATCCACAACCTGGGCAAATGCCCTAACCAGGAATCAAACTGTGAACTGGTTCATAGGTCAATGCTCAACCACTGAGGTACACCAGCCAGGCTATTTTCAACTATCAAAGTATAAAAAGAATACACAATTTAAAGACATTTTGGTATGTATCAAATAAATTTGTGTGTTTTTTTAAAAAAAACAAGGTTCACTACATCTAATTTACTGTGGTAGCCTCCTGGCAAACCATCTGGGAACATCAACAGATGTCACTATTTAATTATAACCTGGAAAGGAAATGTACAGTAGTTTCCAGAGAAAAAACTAGAAAAAAATGTTGCTACCTGTTCTGCTTCTCCTATAAAATGAACTACTATAATCTAAAATGCACACCCAACTTTTCCATTAAAAACAGAGGAGCGGCCCTAACTGGTTTGGCTCAGTGGATAGAGCGTCAGCCTGCCGACTCAAGGGTCCCAGGTTCGATTCCAGTCAAAGGCATGTACCTTGGTTGTGGGCACATCCCCAGTAGGGGGTGTGCAGGAGGCAGCTGATCGATGTCCCTCTCCCATCGATGTTTCTAACTCTCTATCCCTTTCCCTTCCTCTCTGTAAAAAATCAATAAAATATATTTTTTAAAAACAAAAACAAAAAACAGAGGAGCATAGTTCAGTCTGTGTGGCTCAGTGGTTGAGCATCAAACTATGAACCAGGAGGTCATGGTTCAATTCCCGATCAGGGGCATGCCCAGCTGTGGGCTCCATCCCCAGAAGGTGGTGTGCAGGAGGCAGATGATCAATAACATTTCTCTCCCACCAATGTTTCTATCTCTCTCTCTCCCATCCTCTCGCTCTAAAAGTCAATTTTAAAAAACATATAAAAACAGGAGTATAATTCTGAAGATACCACACTGTCCATTATCTTTAAAAAGAGGAATTATCTTAAATAATAACCAGAAATATAAACTTATATGCAACTAGTCTTCACATAAGATTACAATGCAAAAACCTCAATCACTCTTGATTTCATTTTAGTTTGTGCTGAACATATTTTCCCTTTTTTTAATAAATTCTATAGCTCACAGAATAGTCCCTTAAGTGAGAGTTTTTAAGTTAGAGATACATAAAATTGGTCTCTATAGATATAATGCTCAACTCAAATAACTCTGGTATATAAGAATCCATTAACTAATCAAAAATATGGAGTTTTATTTTTAAGAGATGTGGATGACTACCACTATCTTAAGCCTTAAGTTTATATTACCACAGTTAAGAGTACTACTCTCTAGCCACTAAAACACATCTCTTAAAGATTAAACATTTCCAGTAATGTGGTTAGATAAAATGTGCTTTTCTCTGCCAATTTAAATTTTCCCTAAAAAATAAAATGAAAATCAAGCTGTCTTTCTGCACATAGACTTCTCTTAAAATTAAGTATTTCTCAAAGATAGTGTTAATACTTTAGCAAATCCATATTGTATTAAAAATTCAGTCTATAGTCACTGGATTAAGCCTGAAGGATTATTCCAACATAAGGTGATGAAAAATTGTTTAAAAAAGTAGATGAATTACTTTTGAAAATAAACTACAATCGACAGACTCTCAGATCTACTCAACCAAGATTTCTATTTCCTCACAACATATTTTTTAAGTTGTTTTTTTAAGTTTATTTTTTATTGTTGACATTTTGATTCTCCCCTTTTCCCCAATTTTTTTTTTTTTTTTTTTACATAAAGACATTTAAGCTTTAGCTTACTTGAGAAAGAAAAAAACAAACTATCACTGGTTATGCTATTATATAGCTAAATGCCTACAACTGAAGTAGCAGGTTCCCACATGCCACTGAACTCAAAAATCTGAATTACACAATGTTTCATAAGAACTACCTAGAATTCTATTTCCAAATGCTCCCACTGTTATAATTACGTAAGCAAACTACTTCAATAGCAAGAATCTATTAATAGTTCATTCCTCTACTTCCTTCCCTACTTTTCCTGATTAACTGGTTATCTTCTGCAAAAACTTTTTTCCAGTCAGTTGTTTGAGTTCTATATATTCAATGCAGAAACTTTTACCTAAGGAATCTAAAAGTTTTATGTAAGAATTAGGTCCAAATATGGACATACGCTAATATGCCAAGTTATTCTAGACCAGTGGTCGGCAAACTCATTAGTCAACAGAGCCAAATATCAACAGTACAACGATTGAAATTTCTTTTGAGAGGCAAATTTTTTAAACTTAAACTACATAGATAGGTACATTGTTATTAACTTAATCGGGTACTCCTAAGGCTTAGGAAGAGCCACACTCAAGGGGCCAAAGAGCCGCATGTGGCTCGAGAGCCAGTTTACCGACCACGGTTCTAGGCTATTACATCTATCACACAGCATCCGTTCAGAATTTATATAAATATTCTATAAGCTTTTTCTTCTTTTAGGGTATTTTGGATGAGTAATCGCCTTTTGGTTTATTAATCTGGAAGCTATATTTGCTACAAGTTTGTAACTATGTCTTTGGGACAAAAGATATTTATACAAAAGAGCTGCCACACTAAAGAAGTATGCAACTAATCTTCACATTAGAAGATAGGTTAAATTACAAAAACCTCAATTTTTTATCTTAATTTGTGCTACACAGCATTTTACCTTTTTTAAACTCAATTTCATAAATCCTAAAGCTCCCTATATGAGAATCCAAAGTTGTTCTCTATACCTATAGATACAGCTCAACTCGAAAAATGAGAACCTAACGCAAAATAGTTCTAAGATCCCACTAACTAGTGAGCAGAGGAGAAGAATACCCAGTTCTGCAGCGTTGAATAAATTTCAGGTGATTGATTTTTTTTTTACTAGTTTTTCCCATCACATATGAATCCAATTTCCAGAAAAGAAAAAGGGTTTGGGGTGAAAACTCAGAATACTTAACACTAGAAAGGATTAAGTTTTACATTGTATATTCTTGGTAAGGAGCAAGAATTACTCAAACAGGTGTTACTGTTAGTAGGCTATAAAGTGCATCAGAACTAGCCTCAGAATACAATATGTTTGCTGACAAGAGAGATGGGAATCCTAGGGATCTATAACATTTGTAACAACTTTTTATAACACATTGACTAGGAGGAAGACAGTCACCCCGAAAGTGAGACTCATAGGGAAAAGAAAGAATTTATACACCCTTTGATCAGGCATGTAAATGGTTAATTACTCACGGGCCTTGCCTGGGGACTCAAGTAAGGTTCAAAATCATCATCATTTAATCCATCCTTTTGATGTACAGATCCATTTTGTACTAGAGGAAAAAATTCAAATTAAAATCGTCCCAGTCATACAAGCCTCCCTCCCAAAGTCACCAAATACATCCTAACCAGAGAAAAACCTTACTAAAACAGAGAAATTACGTTTGCATTTCAAAACGCTAAGGATGGGAGTGCATGCTGAGCAGCATTCCGTCAATAAAAATGTCTCCCTCCACCCCAAGCAAGTGGATCTAAAAAGGTCCTTTTATTGGCTCCTCTCGCTGCTCGTGCCCTCCCGCTTCCCCCCACCCGCTCCACTTGGGTCACATGCGGGCACTTCCAGAGTGTGATCCACGAGGACGAAACACAAAGGCCTTCTAAGACCTACAGGAAACCAGGGACCTGAGACATTGCACAACCGCATCCACCCCCACCCCCACCCTCAGTGAATGACTCCTTGTTCGCTGGAGAGCTGTTCGCCCGCGGAAAGAACACGCCGAAAGGGTCAAATCCTTCCGTGTGAGCGAGGCACCTGCGAACCCCGGGGCTTCCCAAGGATCCCGGCTCCGGGGCGCTTCCCGGGGACCCCGCCCCCACTACCCCGCGTCCCCCTCTCCGGGCAACCGGCGGGGCCGGGCTCACCTTTGTTTCCTTGACCTTTTGGTCTCTGCGGGCGAAGGAAACGTCGCCGAGCAGCAAGGTATCCGAGGGAGAAATGGAAAAGAGAAGACAAATTAAAGCCGGGCCGGAGAAAGGCAGGAAGGAGCAGGCCTCGGGGTCGGCGTCAGGAATGGTGGTGGAGGGGAGGCCGGAGAACGGGAGGCGGGGGAAAGAGCTAGGCCGGCGAGGCCGCCGAGGAAAAGCGGGGGACGCGCCAGCGGCGACGCGACGGGGCCCGGGCTTCAGGGAAGGGGAAGGGAACGAGGAAGGAAGACGAGGCCCGCTGAGGAGGAAAGGCGGCGCGGGCGTTGGGCACC